AACTTTCCTAGTATTTGTTAACATCATAAGTGAAACACTACTTATTAACTCACACATAAAAATTCTCTGAGAATTGAAAGAACTTTGCTAGTATTTACTGTTGTCATACATGAAATACTGCTCACCAAATCCCACCTTGCTATCTGAGACTCTTTTGGTACAACGCCAGGCAAATGATGAACTAGAGGTGAGAGGAAATGCCCATCTAGGACTTTGTACTGAGGATATTCTTCAACCTCGGGACCCAGAATGAAAACACTTATCACTACTTATCCATTACGTAGGAAAGCTATAGTCATTTTTACAACAATATCAATTTAACATGAATAATAAAGTTCTACACAAAATAATGTTCTTAGTTTTCTACAAACTCTTTAATTCTACCTAATACGAATGATCAATAAACTTTTCTTATATGATTATAGAAATGTAGAGAAAAAAAAAAGTACATATTTTACTGAAGTTTTTTATTTCCAAACTTCCAAAAACTAACTTCATATGTGTAAAAAATATTTATGTGAAATATCTCCAAGTCAAATCTCAAATAACAGCTTTTCATTACATTTGTTTAGTTCACTTATCTCTTTCTTAATATTTACACAGCAGCTTGCATTTTATTTGGACTACTGGCTACTTTAATCTATTTAGAAACATCTTACAGTGAAACAACATTGTGTTTTCTATCAGAAAATATCAAGTTTTAGTTTATTGAGCAGAAATCCCTTTTTGAAAGATTTGAAAACATGGCTGATGAAAATGAAGAATATTAGTACCACGAAAAAATTCTGATCTGAGTTAATCTCAAGTTGCATACAACTAAACTCACAATAAACAACTTCATAGGATCAACTTTTATGACAAACATACATACTCTTATTATACATGACATACAAAGTTAAACAAAAGGGCTTCTTACCTTGTCTATATACACAGGATAATCGCGTGACACAAGATGTTGACATGTTTCTCTATTGGATATAATCTTACGAAATTCAAATATCCTGTGGATGAATAAAAATAATTTTAGAAAAGACTTAACAATAACATACTGGTTTTTAAACTTCAGTGTTTGCAGCCGTTAAGTACTTTACAAAACATTTAACAACAATGTACTGGTTTTTAAACTTCAGTGTTTGCAGCCGTTAAGTACTTTACAAAACATTTAACAACAATGTACTGGTTTTTAAACGTCAGTGTTTGCAGCCATTAAGTACTTTACAAAACATTTAACAACAACGTACTGGTTTTTAAACTTCAGTGTTTGCAG